CAACAAAAAATTAACAGATTTCCCTAACATTAGTTATTTGTACTGTAGTTATTTATGAGTTTTAACTAAAATAATATGATAATGCAAACTTGTTTCTTTTGTCACAACAGAACAGAGGAACCAAAGCTCATTAATGTTAACGTTAGCGGTCTTCCACTGATAGTGGTATTAGCTAGCTTTGTGGTTAGCTAGTGATGAGCCATAATTTCGCAATAAATAACGTCATAGTGCAAATTGTAAAACATACATTTTCAATATAACAGGCCAAGGAGAGATGATGCGTCTCATTGCTAGAACTGTCACGCGTTATTAAAGAAATACTTCAGTCACATTGTCAAAAGTTAAAAGGACAGTCAGTCAACTACACTGTAACAACGTAACGTAATTATTACTAGCTAATTCCTCTTCACTCTCGGCTTATTTAACAGCAGCAAAACTGGACATGATAGTCACAAATTTTGTCATGCTTATTTGAGTTAAGAGAACTGATGGGGATGTTCTTTTAACTGTTATTCAAGCAATGTATGTCTCGTGACCAACTCAACGACTGTTGCCAACAGGAACGGTGTAGAGTGCCCTCTGGTGGACAAACTATACAACTCAAACACTCACAACATGGTTCAAGCGTGTTTCGTCCGTCTTTATTTTATTTTTGAAATATTCATTTATCGGCCATTGTAACTGCTGATACCGATAGTTCGGAAAATGCCTAATATCGGCCGATAATATCAGTCTGCCGATATATCGGTCTGGCTCTAGAACGTACAGTAATGGTATTGGGCTGATTAAAATATGTACAACTAATTATGATTTTGAACAAATCACTTGCGTGAATGATTCACTCACTCCCACATAAAGACCGTCAATGTTGAACTCTACTAGTTCAACATTGTAACCTGGAGAAGTGGAGTGATACAAACAGTGAGAAGTCCCAGTGCCGTTGATATAAAATCAGCACTTTTTGAAACACTGCTCAGTCAAATGAATTCAAAGACCGAAACTATTTCAAAAACCAGTTGGAGTCTCTATGTATCAAAAGTTAAAGTTAAAGTCTCTATGTCTACAGTTAGATGTTTGATCTCTGTAGATTAGCAAAATAGTGATGAAAGGAGTTTCCCTAAGACACTCATTAATGAGAAGCATCCACAGCAGGGATCCACAAGGAAACGGAATATATAATGTGGAAGCTGTGTGTGTTGTTTGTTATCTATGTTTCATAACTAGAAAACTCTCAAAGACACTATTAAAGGTAAATGAAAGAAGATGTGTGAAGTAAACGACTGCAACACCCACCATCGGAGGTCTTCAGAACAACAACCTTGCTGTACGCTCCCACTCCAGCAGTGTTGTACGCTTTGACTCGAGCGTTGTACGAACTGTTGAAATGAAGGCCATCCACTGTACAGACTGTCTCTTTACCCACGTATACCTCCTGGAACATGGACAGGAAACAAAGAAAAAAAGGCAGACAGGAAGTAAAGTTAAAAATGGAGAATCTTAGAATGATGCTGCATGAATATCATGAATTATGAAATAAGCTGTAGATGTTTCAAAGAAAAGAAGATACTGTATGATTTTGCAAGCATTGAAGCATAAACAAACCTAGAAAACAAAAAGGCATCATTCAATCCTACATTGGTTGGATTGTAAAACTTAATTTGTTTCCACGTTTTAGTTACATTGCACCACTCTGGACCAATTCGTTTCATTAATTTGTGCCTTCCAGTAGCAGGAATGGACAGCCCTGTTCTAAATGCACAATAATTACGTGTTTTACAATTTGCAATTAGCATTTTTGGCTTCTAGTCCATGTCTGTTAGCTTTGAGGTCATACCCCTGATTAGCAGGAACAAATGTAATTGGACGTACTCGCATCATTCTGAACGTGTTTCAAACCAGCACCAATCAGAATGGGAGTTGGGCAGCTAACAAGGAAGTTGAAGACCACAGCTGCTAGCATGAGGTTTATCTGCACAGCTCTTACTAGCTGACATCCGTTATATTCAACTCCCAAAACCTCACTCCTATCCAGGTCACAGCACCAATGTAACTGGCCCTCCTAGACACTACCCAGATAGCAAACTGACATTGAATCAACGTGGAAACGACGTCCCTCATGACATTGAAACAACGTTGATTTGCTCATCGAATTAACGTTGAACCAACGTCAGACGCGGCATTCTTTAAAGCTAAATGAAATCGAAAATTGGTTTGCTTTCATAACGTTGAAACAACGCGTTGATTTCAAGTTAATTTTCCGTTAGTTTTGAAAGAATGACGCGTCTGACGTTGGTTCAACGTTAATTCGATGAGCAAAACAATGTCAGATCAACGTTGTTTCGATGTCATATTTCCACGTTGATTCAATGTCAGTCTGCTATCTGGGTAAAGACTATAACTGCTAGCATCAGTTGTTAGTGTACCTCTTGAGGCCAGGGAAGGGAACGTCCTGAGTGGTTTTAATATGTCTGACACAATCCTGTCCGCGTTTAGAGAACTTCATAGCACCAAACTGCTTCATTGAAAGTTACAAATGATATTTTACTTTCTCTTGATTCGTTCTGCTTGACTTAAGTGCAGCATTTGAGTAAATTATGACATCCTTTTACATAGACTTGATCATGTAGCTGGGCTTCTATGCTGGATCTTACCTCAAGGATATAACTTTTTCTGTTAACCTGGAGATATGTTTCTTATCTCGTTCTCAAATCTCCTTTGGGTGTTCCACAGGGCTCTATTTTAGGTCCTCTTCTTTTTGCTATATATATGCCTCCACTTGGTTAAATTATTCAGAAACACAACTTATTGTATAATTTCTATGCCGATGACACTCAGCTTTATCTTCCCGTTAAAAATAACACCTGTTCTAATTTGTTTGCATGTCTTCAAGATATTAAATGCTGGATGGACTTACTACCATCTAAGCTTGGTACCAATTCAATTAGCAGCCAGAGTACAAAATAACCAAGAGATTGATTTGTTTTCTTGACATTTGAATGATCTCGGTGTGAAAATAAAATGTTGACCCGGTACCCGGTAAGGCCCGCCATTCCCGTCATCCAGCTCCAGCACGTAACCCTCGACAGGCAGGGCTTGGACTGTAGTTATCCTCCAGGCCAGAGTGGCGCTGTTGTTCCGCATGCAGCATTTCTCCAACTGCAACAGTGGTGCAGGAGGCACTGTTGGGGTCTCCGCTAAAAGAGAGTACAAAGTACACTTTTAATCATCAAATATCATCCACCAAGGCATCAAAGTTTAAACAGGGGTAAATGTGGAGTGACATGCATGGGAGTAAGAACTTCCTGAAAGTCACTGGTGCCTCTAAAAAAACATACGGAGAAAAGGGGGCTGTGGTTTGGGGTGGGGTTGAGTATTATAGGGGAACATTTTTAGCAACTCTGAAATACCTCCTGTGTTCTCCTCCTCTTTCTGGTCACCTGTATGCATTTGTTTCAATGATGCAGCCTCCTGACCATCTGAAAGATGATATCGGACAAAGCAGGGGTTGCATGTATGAATCTAGAGGTAAAACTGGGGGGATCATTTGCCTCTGAAACTGGGAATGATGGGATTCATGTTTGGATTGTGTAAAGAGCAGCCCAACTATTCTTCGAGACCATGATGAATTTGAATTTGCTAAGACATATTGGTTTAATTGCCAATTTTGAAGAGTTTGTTTGCTAGTCCATGGATCCTAGACTCAAATTCTAAATGGAAAATAAGAATCTCATTGCAACAAATATATAAAACAATATATTATTAGCCTTACAAAAGTGATCACCAATGTTGGGGAATGTTATTTTTTAAACTACTCATAAATAAGTACTTTCTCAAAATCTCAAAATCATTACTTCCAAAACATAACCATATGTAACATGCACTGTTTGTAATGTTATTCCCCCAACACCGGTGACCACAAACAGCGAACGTTAAATCTGATTTTTTAGATGTCGTGTCACATATTACCTTTATTTTGGGTGAAGTCCAGCTGGAGAATTGACTGCATCAGAGGGTCTGTGTTGACGGTCAAGGCAAATTCTGGGCAGACCTTTGGCTCCAATGCACCTTTTACCCACTGGTCCTGAGAGCCCTGGACACGCTTTATCAACGCATCTGAGATCTGGAAGAACAGAACGAGAAGAGAAACAATAACGATCAACTGTGATGTCTCAAGGCACCCACACACTACAAGATAACCAGGCCGATTTTGGGCCCAATTGTCCCCTTCCGACAGTCCTAGGTAAAATCCTGATTATCTTCATGATTCTACGGATTATTTTATCAGATTATTCTGTGGGTTGAGGTGTGTTAAGAGTGACTGATGTACTCAGAAGAACATGAGGGCCGATAGTAAATATCAAACAATGCTGTTGTGTGGGGGGAACCCAAGGATGAACGTGCTATACATTGTCATGTGGAACAAAACGATACCAAATCAGAAAGCAAGCTGAAGGAAGACAACGCAACTTTTCTGCGAATTTTCAGTAAAAAGCAGTCCAAACACTATTATCACCACTTCTTACGCCAAGTTACGTTTGATGCGAGAGATTTTGCGAGATGTCCACAGTCGGTTGTTTGTGAATGGAATTAGTTAGCGTGTGTTGCCAATCACATCGCGTCACTCCACACACTAGAGTAATACTAGAGGTAGAGGTCTCTCACATTTTGAAATTCTGATCATTTTTTAAAGGGGTGATGAACTGAGAAATCTAATTTTCCGTTTTTCAAAGTGGGGAACTATGACGTCAAAGAGGATAAAACACCACCCCTGCAGAAGAAGATCAACGCCTACTTCAACACGACCGGTTTAGCCCCACCCACCGATTCGCGCATTACACGCATAGCTAAATAACATAGATGCCTACCTCGTGATGAGAAACCGGATCGAGCTACCGAGCAACACAGAATATTGTGTAGTGCCTGGTTGTGGAAGAAGACAGTCTGGACTGCATGGATAAACTTTATTTTTAATGACGTTCCAGCTGATGAGGTAAAACATTGTCCGTCTGTTCGCTTCATTTCACTGAGGATTGTTTTGTAAACAAGACTGGATTTGTAGACCGATTAAGATTAAAGAACCGGTGCTGTGCCGTCTATATTGGATCTGACAGGAATGGTGCAACACACGGACTCTGGGTCGAACATGTATGGGCGAATCATTCCGGTTTCCATTTTACTTCATTAGACGTTTTCAAAACAATTTTCCCCAAGTGCATCGACGGGTGAGTTGAAACTCATTATAATATACAAAACTGTTATCCACTCACAGCAGTGGGCGTTTACTTCCAAGTCTTCAGTGCGACACGCCCATAAAAAACGAGTGTTTTTATAACTAGGGTAGAAAATAGCCTATCACTTATTCATTTAGATGTATTTAAATGCAAAAACCAAGCGAACGTAATAAGTCGACGTGACGTCAGACAACAACATAAAAAAAATTAAAAAGCCAGTTCATGACCCCTTAAAAAATCTTTTAGTGTGGACCAGCGTTTTGAAAATTGACACCATTCAGGGGTGCGTTTCCCGAAAGCATCGTTAGCCAACTATGGTCGCAAGTTGGTCGCAATTTCCATTGAACTCTATTGGTAACCATGGAACTTGCGACCATAGTTGGCTAACGATGCTTTCGGGAAACGCACCCCTGTTCAGTTTAGTTTCGTTTTCATTGACTTTCAGTTTGTTCTTCTTTGTTCAGATTTCCTACCGCTCGTCAGTTTCTATGGTTACTGTCTCGTTATATCCCGAGTTCCCTGTCTTTACAATCTGTCATAAAACCAAGAAGAAGAAGAAGAATTCCCTGTCAGGTCACGTTTTAGTAAACTTCGTGTTGGAATATTCTTCTTCTGTGTCCTCGTCTTCCTGACTGTACATTATCATTAAAATAAATAATATAAATTTTATTTATTTTTATTTTATTGTTTGTAGTATTATTTATTATAATAATTAAATAATTATTTTTTAATTATTATTAATTAAAATGATCACAATAAAGAATCACTTTGGTACTGTGTTAGGCATATATTACATTATAATATATTTAGTCCATCACATTTTGCACTGTGTTTTAGGGATTCACTCTTCTTTATATTTTGGGGATCAAGACAAACCAATATACAGTATTGTCTGCTAACTGTATCTCTCTTTATGCTGGACAGGCATCTCTAACTCACATTACATGCTTTGTGAAGGCACTCAAACAAACATAACAATTGATACTTCATAAAAAATGTAGTAAAGAGGCAGCGTTGCACCTTTGGAGCAGTCTTCTCTCTCGATTATACACTCGCTGCAATGAAATATTAATTATTGAAAGAGTTTAATTGCTGAGGGCCAGTCTAAACAGCAGGCAAACGCTTTCAGAGGAAACCATCGGATACCTATGAAATCTTGCTTCTGCTATTGAATTTTTTTTTTTTTAGTTTATAACTCACAGTCTGAAAAAAATGTGGGATATAAGCTCACAATTACAAGTTTACATCTTACATTGTACTGAGTTTCATTCAAACTTTGGAATTAGACAGAAATTAGGTATGGTATCAGTACTTCTGTCACAATGAAGATTTTAAATGAACCCTGGCTTATAATGCGATTATAATGACATTTAAACAATATTCAGATTAAACTTTAGCTCATGTAAGCAATACTTCGCAATCAAATGTGTGCGATTAAGCTTACTATCGTTGTAACCAGAGCCGAAAATGTACATTTGCCAAGTACCAAATGCGACTAAAAATAGGTGTTGGCGAGTATATTAAACGGTGTCAATCGCCAGTTGGCTGGTAACATTTTTATTAATTTTATAAATAAATAAATAAATGCATGTGTATCAGTATAGATCCGTGTATCAGTATATTAGATCCATGTATACGCTCTTAAAGTGACAGCAGCCTAATATACCTCCAGCTGTCTGTGTTTTTAAAGGAGAACTCCGGCGCAAAATGAACCTTTGGTCTAATTACACATTGTTACCTAGTCAACCGTTATCTGAGATTTGTTTTCATGATTGCCGAATGTAAATAGTTTTATCTCTAAATACAGTTTAGCCTATAACGCTAGTATAATGCTAGTATATAGGGCATAGAGTAATGACAAAAAAACCCCGCTTGTTATTACCACTAAAAAGGCTCAAAATAGCCCCACAGTAACACGACAGCATAATAAGGGTCTCTACATTCAAACCGAAGCATTGAGAACTTTGTCAGTGTCCATACAGTTTAATAAGAAGATATTTTATACACACAGTCAACTTCGCGAATACATGAATAAGCCATCTTTAAAAAAAAAAGTCTCTACCAGTCGATCTACGAGCGCCGATCCATGTGCGCTGGTGAGATGTGAATAAGGTGATAAGGTGAGCACGAACAGTAGGCTACGTGTACATATTGAAGAGAAGTAAACGGTTCGTGTTTGTGTTTCTTCTGGAAACAACGGACCATATGAGATTCTGCACAGTTCAGCGCACTTGGATTGGCGTTCGTAGATCGACTGGTAGAGACTATTTTTTAAAGATGGCTTCTTCCTGTATTCGCGAAGTTGACTGTGTGTATAAAATATCTTCTTATTAAACTGTTTGGACACTGACAAAGTTCTCAATGCTTCGGTTTGAATGTAGGGACCCTTGTTATGCTGTCGTGTTGGTGTGGGGCTATTTTGAGCCTTGTTAGTGGTAATAACAAGCTATTTTTATTTGTCATTACTCTATGCCCTATATACTAGCATTATACTAGCGTTATAGGCTAAACTGTTTTTAGAGATAAAACTATTTACATTCGGCAATCATGAAAACAAATCTCAGATAACGGTTGATTAGATACCAATGTGTAATTAGACCAAAGGTTCATTTTGCGCCGGAGTTCTCCTTTAATGTTATTCAAACAAAAAGGACAAAAAAAAAACACTCACTGCACTTGAATGCATAACTTTTCAAACTTCAATAAGGATTAATCAACGTTTAATTTATACAGTGAAGACTATCCAGTGTAATTAGGACCCTATTGGAATTGCTCCGTTTATATTATTCAATGTCTCAAGCTGAAAACTACTGTTACTCGTCTTTAATAACGTTATAAATTTATATTAGTTAGGCTAGTAGTTTTAGCTGTGGTATCGAAATTGGAATAGAGGATTGTTAATTTTCACTGGTTTTTTTTTTTTTTTTTTTGTCATAAATTGCTGTTTTTGCACAAAACAAGTTTTTTTAGTCCCTGGTTGTAACCATAATAGTAATATATGGGGTGTATGCCAACCTGAATCACAAAAAACATGCATTTAAACACTTTAATCGCATCTATCCCACACAGATTCATAAACATAGCAGTCTCATTTTTGGGGTGCAGATGAAACGGAGTTAACAACATTGTGCAACATGAATATAATGGAGTATAATGGATGGTTGAAAACACTGGCATTGACACCTACTGTATGTTAGTTCATCATCATCATTATTATTATTTGAGATCTTTAACCTTTGACTTTGTGTTTCAGCTTTTTCTGTACCTGTAGGAATCCACTGGGATCGTTCTCTTTAATAACCTCCAGACAGAATTCCATCATTCCCGTGGTCTGCCGGAGCTTCATGGTGCAGTGAGTTATCTGATCCTTTACAGTCTGAAACAGAAAGGCCGTGGCTAAATTATCATCACACACATTCAGTCTGAGCAGCAGCATAAGAGGCATTCAATCAAAGACAAGCTCATAGTGGTGAATAGTCACATCAGATAGATGCTATAAAGAGATATGGAGTCACGTAACCAATGACTCCATCTGCATCACACAAACTCACATCTACTAGACAAGTTAGTCATAAAACAAAATTATTCAATACTAGTCATCAGTTACACTAAAAGGTAGATTGGTCTGTTGGTAAATTTGAATCTGAAAACAAAGACTGACTAGCCTTGACTAATTGCTGGCTGGACACACTAGTTCTTAAGATGCTATGTTTACGCAACTGGTCCAAGATTTGTATGGTTGTCAAAGATCTTCAGTCTCAGCCAAGCAAGGAAATGTTCCAGGTTCAATACAAGTTAAACTCAATAGATGATCACAGAAAATCATTTCGACTTAAAATCATTTTACAGTAATGCACTTTTAATGGAGCAAGGCATTAGACTAAAATAAACATTATAGAAGGCATGTTATTAAAGACATATGTTAATATGAGAGTGTGATAACACAAAATCTTAGATTAAACTATAATATGTGTGTGTTTATACTATAAAAAAGTGTGTGTGTGTGTGTGTGTGTGTGTGTGTGTGTGTGTGTGTGTGTGTGTGTGTGTGTGTGTGTGTGTGTGTGTGTGTGTGTGTGTGTGTGTGTGTGTGTGTGTGTGTGTGTGTGTGTGTGTGTGTGTGTGTGTGTGTGTGGTACAGTATAAAAGCTATAAGGCACTTAAAGAGAAAAAAACAAAAAAACAGCACGATACATTCCTCAAAATATATATTTGTATGTTCCATAGAATAAAGTCATTCAGTTTTGGAAAGACATGAGGGTAAATGATGACAGAAGTTTCGATTTTAAGTAGGGCTGTGCAAAAATTAATTGCGATTAATCGCATCCAAAATAAAAGTCTGTGTTTACATAATATATTTGTGTGTGCTGTATATTATTATTTTGTATATATAAATACACACACATGCATGTATATATTTAAGAAAATGTGTTATTCATATATAAAATATTTATATTTATATAATATAGATTATGTATTTATTTATATATACAGAATTTAAGTGCAAATAATTCTTAAATATATACATGCATGCATGGGTATTTATATATACAAAATAATTATATACAGCACACACAAATATATTATGTAAACACAGACTTTTATTTTGGATGCGATTAATCGCAATTAATTTTTGCACAGCCCTAATTTTAAGTGAACTAACCCGTGTAAATATAGTCACCTGTTTTAGTGTAGTATTAAATGTTAATTTCTTTTTAAATACTGAAATAATGAAATAATAAACTATGACGATAATAATACTGCATGTACAGGATTATATTAATATTTGTTTTTGAAATACAAAGAAATGAATGTGTGATTTCATTCATCAAACATTCATTTATACATCCATATTTAATTGTCCAGATAATCTGATTAAATCACTCTTTATAAATATTACATAAATTAATGCATAATTATTTAATGATTCACTTGTCAAGCGTTCTCTGGAATGAGACGACAGGCTGCATAATTATAACTGACATAACCAGCATTAACACTTTAAGGTATAAATTACTGAATTATACATGAATACATTAAAAATACATGAATAACGCTTAAAGACATTGTTAATTTGAGGTCATCAATATGGAAATGTGAAGAAAAATAGATGCCCTTTATTTTTAATTTCTCTCTTTTTTTAGTCTGCCAGCCTGCCAGATTAAAATCACAGAGTAAGCCTTCTGTCTCTAATCTGTATCAAATGAACTGATGTTTAATGTGAGAAGAGCGATAGATGTACCCGGGTAACCTAAATTCTTCTGCATTCTTGTCTAACCAGAGTTCATTTCAGTGCTCTTAAAGCACAATATAATCTTGTATCTCTGTAATCTATAAAGCAATGTATGGATTAACATACAGTAACAACCACAAATAACTTGTGCAGTTTTCCTTTCCACACCCCCACCCCCTTCATCCTCTGTTCATTGTGGTGAAAGAGGGCATGCGTAAAGCTCGGTTGTCAGACTACTGGTGTGGAAGAAAAGAAGTAGAGTAGAAAATGACGTCTCCTGTCGCTATAAACTCAAGAACACTTCATCTGATTAACATCACACAGACCGCGGAAGATGGAGGAACAAAAAACATCTATCACTAAGATAATTAGTGAAAAAATGGTGAATATGATCCACGATAAAAAACTAGAATTGATGGAAATTATAAAGCTCAAATTTCAATGCCTAGTGAGATATTTTATTTAACAGAAGTCCCCTTTCGAAGCATACAGCGAACGGCCTGTTTGGACTACATCCCTCGACTTCCTTTTTTAATGACGCAACTAGAACAGTTTTTTGCCTAATCTCCGCCCACAGGAATACACTAAAAAAGGGAATTTATGGTAAGACCTTTCCGGGCAACGTGCGATAAGCTGCTGTCGAATCACAACACAGGAACCGCTGGCACAATCAGAAGCTGTTACGTATTTCTGAAGTAAATATGAAAAGGTGCCTGCAAATGTGGCACTATCTGTAATATTGCAGGCATTTCATCCTCCACTATGTGTCGACTGATCAAGCTAAGCTACATCTATCATGCACTGGAGAGTCCTACGTACACAGGTCCTCGGGCTGGAGCAAGACAGACCAACTGCTTGTGTGTTTTGGGTCACCTAAGATGGGTTCCCCTGTCTCTAAACATATTATTAGCAGATGGATAGTAGAAGCCATTTCTTCACCTTACGAGGCGTACAATTTGCCTTCGCATCTCCTGATAAGAGCTCACTCAACTAGAGGAGTGGCATCCTCTAAAGCCCTGCTAGCAGGGGTCTCTGGTTGGTTGGGGACTTAGGTTGGTTTGTTTCATGTTACGCCCCAAAACACATCCATTACTCATTACTCATTACATACATTAAGGGATTAGGAACAACCGTTTTAGACCATGCGCCGGACACGGCGACCATTTTTTCCATCGTTAAACTAGCAAAAGTGGATTCGGACACGTCTTAAAGGGATAGTTCACTTTGAAATTAATTTTTGATATGTTTTAGCTTACCTCAAGGGCATCCAAGATGTAGGTGTCTTTTTTTCCACAGTATTTTCAATTTTGACATTTTTCAGTCAAACCGTTGTTGTCTATCAGTCATACACTAGAGGCTAAGGGGGTCCACCAAAAAGCATGCACAGAGAAGTCCAAATTAAACATGATTTAATGACTCATAAATGTAAGTACACATTGATGGCCTAAGACACGAAACGAGCGGTTTGTGTGAGAAAACGAACAGTATTTATATCGTTTTTACCTCGTGTAATCCAAGTGATCTGAATTAGTTGTTCAATATCCAAATGAACCGAACTGAATCAGTTCAATGTTACGCCGGAAGTGATCGCTTGCGTGTGACGTCACTCAATATTTACACGGAGATTTCGGAAGTTTTACCTTTTACTAAACATATTTAGATATATCGAAATCGTCTTCCATTGCGGTTTCCCGTATATCTAAATATGTTTAGTGAAAGGTAAAACTTCCGAAAACTCTGTATAAACAAAGAGTGACGTAGGCGCGCGAGCGATCACTTCAAGCGCATGCGCAGACCGAAGCGCCCGTGCCGTCAGATCATTTTGTCATGGCTATGATTACAAGAGGTAAAAACGAAATAAATACTGTTCGTTTTCTCACACAAACCGCTCGTTTGGTGTCTTAGGCCATCAATGTGTACTTACATGTACGAGTCATTAAATCATGTTTAATTTGGACTTCTCTGTGCATGCTCTTTGAGGTGAACCGATTGAGGACCCCCTTCACCTCCAGTGTATGACTGATAGACAAGAACGGTTTGACCAAAAAATGTCAAAATTGAAAATGCTGTGGAAACAAAGACACCTACATCTTGGATGCCCTTGAGGTAAGCTAAAACATATCAAAAATTAAATTCAAAGTGAACTATCCCTTTAAGTGTACCTAAACCATGCGCTTAAATCTTTAAAATAGGGCCCTCAATCTGCTTTCCGTAAGGTCTGGACACTAACAGTGTCTTACAGAAACTCTCTCTTCCTCTATCCCATCTGTGTGGTGAAGCAGTAGGCTATATTATCATGTGACCGATTGAGGAAATAATCTTGCTGCAGCAAAATTTAAAGTACTGTAGTTAAAGTTTAACTTTTTAATGGTTTTAAGATGATACTAAAATTACTAGTACAACCACTAGAAAAGTATTACACCCAAATTTAGGTTTGTGGGCCCTTGTCAAAAGGTGTTTAGAATAGGAATGAGTGACAAGAGATGTGCTTGTGTGTGTGTGTGTGTGTGTGTGTGTGTGCTGACCTACCTTCAGTTTGCTCTCTTTCTCCTTTGTGACCTTGGTGAGCAGTTTGGCCTTCTGCCGAGTGAGCGCTTCAATCAGGGAGTCACACTGAGCGACCAGACATGCCTCAAACTCAACCCCGTTCTCCTGTTACACACATACACACACACACACACACACATGTTTTGTGGGGAACTTTTCATTGTATCTTCCATTATACTGTACAAACTGTGTGTTCTATCCCCTAACCCTACACTGTAAAAAAAATAAAAAATAAAATAAAAAAATAATATATATATATATATATATATATATATATATATATAAATAAAATGTTACCTGATTAGCTTAATTTCAAGTTCATTGAAATTGAAAAATGTTATATTTAGTTTCATTTTATGTTTAGTTAATACAATGGAGATTGGTTTAATAAATAGAAACTCAAAAGATTGTTATCTAAACCACATTTACTGTTAAGTAAATTTGACAAAGAAAGATTTGCGATAACAAATCATTTCTAAAACATTGTTTAGTATATTTATTAAGCTGTTAGGTTTACGGGGACACAGGAAGTGTTTACATTGTAATGCTGCCTGTCAACATAGACATTTGTATCCTCACTCCTCATATGCAAGAACACACACACACACAATATACTTTTATTGAGAGTCAGCCTCAAGAATTTGTCCTAAAAAACAGTACATACCATGTATCTGAATATAAGAACAGGAAGCAGACTTCAAGCAGGAAGTCTGCTTATAAAGTTAGTAGTGATAAAGTTCACAATTTCCAACTGTCTGAGCCTTAAAAGGCCCCTATTATGGATTTTTGAAAATTACCTTTCATGTAGTGTATAACATACCTCTAAGTGGATGAAAACATCCTGCACTTTTAAGTCTGCAAGTGCACTGTGTATAAAGTTATTGTCTTTCAAAAGTAAGAGTCGACTCTGAGTCAATGAAATGAATCGTTTTTCAGACGAGTCATAAACCGTTTTGTTGTGACGTCAACACGAAACATTAGCATATTTCCCGCCCACTTATTCCACGTGCAGAAAACTTTAACGCCCTCAGACACTGGCTGATTCCTGTAAACACTGGATGACATCATGTCCAGAAGACGATGTGCTCTACTGTGTGAAGGGAAAGCCAGGTTTTATTCACTGCCCAAGGACGAGCATGTGAAGAATCAGTAGTTTAAATGAATCTTTACCACGATACCACAGCAATATAATCCTAAACTTCTGTTGTGTTCCCTTTATTTTACTGACGACTGTTTCTCTCAGAGTTCAATGCAGGATTTGCGAACCGCTTGCTCTTGAAAGATGGTGTTTTAAAATACTCAGTTTTGAGTTTTATATTGTGTTGATCTCCTGCTAACTGGCTAACTCACGCTATTACTGTCTTAATGAAATACTTCTAATCCTTCTGCTGCTAATCAGTTATGGGTCACTATTACCTAAAAGTCGTTCTCACTACTTTAAAGATTAAGGGCCAATCCCAATTCTACCCCTTACCCCTTCACTTTCCCCTTCCCCTCCATTTTGCGCGTCCATGTGAAGAGGTAGGGTTGTCCCAATTCTCTTTTGGTTGGAGGGGGAGGGCTAGCGGGAAGGGCCAGATAGCCCTTCAAACGAAGATTTTTCGGGAGCACACTTCAAACGAAGGGGTATGCGAAGTGTCACTGCTAACCCAGGCTGGCTGCCCAAGCGACAAAGGAGACCCATAAATGTAAGTATTTGTGGCTTTAATAAGTATTGTAATGACTTTATGTTACATTCAATATTGTGTTCATATTTACGGTCAGTTTCTTCACAGAAATGTTTGTAAAAAAAAAAAAAAAAAAAAAAAAAAATCGCTAAAATTACTGTAGTTTGCTAACGATAGTCCCACAACATATTTTCGTCGTCTCCGTTGTTTCCTGCGAACTTCACAAGATAAATGCAAGAAAATAGCTGTAACCCACGCGACTGAGATAACTGCAGCTGTCGACGGCATCTTGGAAGTTGTGATAAACATCAGCGCATCTCCTGTGACGTAGGCGCTAGCGACGACTTATAATGACGTTTAACGGAGGCGTAGTGGTGTCCCATTTCTTAGGGGAATATTTTCACCCCTACGCATTGCCACTCTGTTTCAAGGGTCAAGGGGAAGGCGAAGGGGTAGGGCTAGGGGAAAGTGAAGGGGTAAGGGGTAGAATTGGGATTGGCCCTAAGTATGCAATTTACTAAATTATAAACATCGTTTTAAACGATATGCACTTGTTTGTAGACAGTCATGTTATTTCATTGCTTTGAATAAACAATTGAATGTGGTGCATTCATATTTTGCTCATATTTGCCTCAGGAGACAAGCCGAAATCTGTTTCCCCCTAACTGAAATTATGTCTTTTAAATTTGAATATAGTTCTATAATAATAAGTATAACATTCAAATTCAGTTTTTCAGCCATTTTGACAGCCCCACAGGGAGTATGTCAGAGATGGAACGAGGCTTCAGGAATACAAATACTATTCAATGGTGTAGCTACGACATCCACCAGAAGAGATCTGGACCACGCAAACAACCAATGGTGTAAGTTCGGTCCTGGAGTTTGTGCGAGCAATGAAAGACGGAGTGAGTATTTGGATCTTTTGGTATTCTGTTTTTGTACCCCTAGTGCCACAGAAATGACACACTTCAGCTTTAAAGTTCATCTTGTTAAACTGGCAAAGATCAGTTTGAGATCGTCTGTGGTGTAGGAGTTACGAACTGAACTAATCGTTCATTCACTTTGAGTATGGATGTGACTCAGATGTGAGACATACACCCACACACTAACAGGGCTGATGGGACTGAGTCATTTCATCTTCTACACAAAAATAATGAAGAGGAGATGTTTGACAAGAGTATGACTGGTGACTGACTGGTACATTTTAAAATAAGAGGTCAGGCTTGAAACCAGACTAATAAGGTCCTTCAGCAGGACTTGTCTCTGTGTGTGCCTGTATGGCACATTACATTGAAAACCTCTGAACACTCGAGTACTTTAATCTACAGAGGCTTTCAAAGACAATCTCTCTCTCTCTTTCTCTCTCTCTCTCTCTCGTGCGCATGTGTGGGCGTTTGCTGAGTGAGTGCAGAGTGTGAATCGGAGTGTGATTGTGGAGTCCCTTCTTCATTTTCAAAGGTCTGTTTACATAAGTGTTGTTTCTCTCACTGTTTGTGCTGTGTCTCGTAAAAAAGCACTGGGGATATTGTGGTGAGAAAGGGGAGATTGGGTTCGCCATGGCGAATGAGGACATGGCGAGTTTTGAGCTACTCACCTGGCAGCATGAATAAAAGTGCCGTTAGAGTTGAGTGCTCAGTCGAAAATGTGTGTCAGCGGTAGGAGCGGTGGTTGGTGTTGGTCACAGTATTCGTTCGGCATTGAGAATGAACGGTGCTGACAAAATTGAAAAAATGAACGCGACGGTTGAAAACATGATAGTCCAATCAAGCGAGAAAGGTTTTGTTTCCTAAGTACCTCCATTTATTAGTGACAAAGCGCTGAAATGGGAATTATCTCAATATGGACAGTTTGTTTCGGGCGATTAAATAGTTCACTTTGAAATTAATTTTTGGTATGTTTTAGCTTACTTCTAGGACATCCAAGATGTAGGTGTCTTTGTTTCCACAGTATTTTTAGGTCAAACCGTTCTTGTCTGTCAGTCATATAAGACCGAAGCGCCCTCACCCTCAAATCACTTGGACGTGGCTGTGGTTACAAGAGGTAAAAACGAAATAAATACTGTTCGTTTTCTCACACAAACCGCTCGTTTCATGTCTTAGGCCATCAATGTGTACTTACATTTACGAGTCATTAAATCATGTTTAATTTGGACTTAAGGTGGACCCCATAGGTCTTCATTATATGACTGACAGACAAGAACGGTTTGACCTAAAAAGATCAAAATTGAAAATACTGTGGAAACAAAGACACCTACATCTTGGATGCCCTTGATGTAAGCTAAAACATATCAAAAAATAATTTCAAAGTGAACTATCTCTTCAAGAAAATTCCTTTAGGCTGCAAATCCCCAATGTTGAAACACATTGTGTCTTTTCACCGACAAGTATATATGATTTTGAGGAGTGATATTGATGAACTGAATATTTCTTTTAAGTTCAAAGTTGATTGCTTTGATTGTGTAATTTTTGCAACAATGGAGAGCTTTGGATGCGGGAAAGAGGGGTTTTGGTACGAGCTTGTCCAGACAAAAATGTGTCAAAGTCATAATGAAGGTCAGAGTGTGGACAAAAGAAAGTGAAGTTGGTGAGTTTTTGGATTTGAGTGTGGACAATGAAGAACTAGGAAGTAGTTGGAGTGAAGAGTAGTCAGAAACAAACTTTACAAAAATGAGACAGTGGATATTGAGCAAACGAGACCCAAAATAGTCTCATTCGTTTGTGCTTCGTTTGCGCTGGTAAAATTTCCGTTTATGCTGCGTCGGGTTTTAAAATATGACATTACATCTAAGTATAAATGTTATTTATTAGGCTGTAGGCTACAAGCTGAAGCTTGGTCACGAAGATCAAAAATAGGTTAGTAATGGTCATTCTGGTTACTTAGGCTATATCTAAGAAATGTCTATCTATTATGAAGTCTTCGTGTCAGTAAGTCAGTTTTAGTTTAAACCAGTGGACAGGATGATATTGACAAGCAGGTTGAAATTGTTAACATTTATGCAAAAATCTCATTTGCAGAAGTAAACTGGGTCAAAAGTTCAGCATATAAGTGTTGGAAAATGGAATGAAGAACTGTTATTACCAGGTGAAATGGTTTGGTCACAAAGAGGTCTGAAAAATCTTGGAATATTTTTGGGTGATGAAATGATAATGAAAAGAAACTGGGAAAATATTCTTGGAAGGAAGACTTGAAAGGTGGAAATGGCTTTTACCTAAAATGTCCTTTAGGGAGAGAGCATTGATTATTCATAATTTAGTAGCCTCCTCATTATAGCACAGATTCACAGTTTTAGAGCCTCCTGAAGGGGTTCTTGGAAAAATACAGGTCAAGATGATCAGCTTCTTTTAGAATAGATTACATTGGTACCACGAAATGATCTGTATCTTCCAAAGGAAGAAGGTGGCCAAGGGGTTGTTGACCTTAAGCAGGAAAGTAGCCTTTAGGCTAAGATTTGTTCAAGTTGTTATTTTATGGTGTGGACCAGCCTGATGTCTTTTAAGTAAGGTTGTAGGGTGGGGTTTTAGAAGAAATAACTTTTGGACAGATTGTAGGAGTTTTAAATTAAAGTCTCTCTTCATTTTATGAAAGTTTAAGAAAAGCATGGTGTATTAGCCTGACTTCTAGTGAGAATGTGAGTCTGAAACTGCTCCATAGCGCTTTGATTATGAGGCGCGTCTTAACCAAACCAGGAAAAAAAAAACCCCTGCACTCAATTGGATAGTCGGTAGACCTACAACCAATCAGAGCAACGCAGTGAGTCAACTACTTTGCATAGCACAGTTGTCAACTACAGAACTTACTTATTTTAGATGTAAAATAACGAGTGTTGCTTCTTTTACTTGGTCCTTCATGAGTGCGATAAAAGGAGAAACCACAACGACCACAGGCTTTTCATTACGTCCCATCTTCTTAGCGACCATCAGAGCCAGCTGATAAGTTACACTTTTCCCGAATCATGTAGGAAGGACGCCAAAAATATCTTTCCGATCGACAAATGTCTTGATTGCAGTTTTCTGTTCATCTATTAAAATGCGCTGTCGATTCATTTAACAACAGACGCGACAGCGGAATCTGTACATCTCAATTCTCCAGCTGCAGTCATCTCTGAGGGAAACCAGTTAGCGCTCTTTGATAACATGATGATTACGTCCTTGCAGATCATCTGTCCATCATCGCATTAAGCCCACCCTAGCAATTTGATTGGGCCGAACATTTTTTGACTGACCATAATTACTCCTCAATGGAGCGAGTCCAGACCGAACTTCCCGACCGAAAAATGTTGTTGGCGGGGTTCGGGGTGGCATCCAGGCTAATGGTGTATGGTACAGGTCTAAAGATCATTGTCATACCAGTCTCTGTATTGGTTTTTTGAAGAGCCATTGATTAATGCTCAACTCGATTTATGTGGAGAGACAACTTTGAAGTTGATGCAAACTTTAACAAAAGCCAAAGTTGTTACAATTAAAGACTTAAAGCTACAATATGTAGCTTTTTTGGCCACAAGAGGGCGCAGTTTCCAACAATAACAAAGGCGTATGTTTATGACGCAGTGACAAGCTGAATGATGGGACTTGCTGTCAAGCTGATGGATCTAATAATGTTTAAAACACGTGAGTCCCTCGGATTTAAAGGAATAAGGAAATTTCATCGTATTGAACTACATGCAAGTGCTGGATTACTCACACAGGTCAATTTATTAGATGAATTAAACTTGCGAGGGAAACGCAGCGCTGTTCCACTTCGTATAACGATAGACTATCGCACTAAACGGCATTTAAATGTGTGCTGAAAGTTATAATGTTATTCTACATGTTAGTTTGTTTGTAGGGCTGGGTAAAAATATCGATTCATCAATGCATTGCAATTTTTTGCTTCTCAATTCAATATCGATTCATCAAATCCTATGAATCGATTCAGCCATCCAGGCCAGTGGCGGCGCTGTGGGCTACACTCTAGTGAGAGCGTTCAGCATTGTACAAGTCGCGCTTTAGCCCTTAGCAAAACAGCGCGATGACGGACAGCAGCTGCACTCCGTTCAAGCCTGATTCAAGACTGCACCGCCAACATTAAAAGCCGACGTTTGGGCTCATTTTGGATTCCACTGTGAGCCGGGAACTATGGAAGCTTGTTTCCGCCACAGAATGGAAAATAAAAAAGGTAATTGCGACTTTTTATCTCACAATTCTGACTTTTTTTTCCCTCACAATTGGGAGTTTACCTCTCGCAATTCTGACTTTATTTCTCAGAATTGCAAGATATAAAGTCAGAATTGCGAGATATAAAGTCACAATTGCGTGATATAAAGTCGCAATTGGGTGTTATAAAGTCAGAAATGCATGATATAAAGTCAGAAATGCATGATATAGAGTCAAAATTGCGTGATATAAAGTCAGAAATGCATGATATAAAGTCAGAATTGCGTGATATAAAGTCAGAAATGCATGATATAAAGTCTATGAGATATAAACTTCTGAGTGGGAAAAAGGTTAGTATTTTTTCCCCCTTAGAATTGGTCTGATAACTCGCAATTGCTGTTAAGTGTGATCAGCTATTAGGTGTTATTGTTTACAAAATTATAATTAGAATATAATATTGCACTTTTTTGAGTATGCACATTTTGTGCTTCTGTTTACATTTCTTTTATAACTTGAATGTATAGGAAGAAAGAAATATACTTTCTACTACTTAGTTACTTGCACTTTAGAGGTGTTGTTAAAGCACTGTACAGTGCTTGTCACAGTTGTGTTTGAATTCAACACGTACAATATTGTACATTTTTATTCTGCTGAATAAACCATGACAGGAAACAAACATGCTGGGGTCAATTTGTTCTTTAACATTGGTAAAACTGCGCACATTACTTAAAAATATACTCAGGCACTTAATTACTTGTGTATTTACTTATTATTGAATCGATTTCGAAGCTAATAAGTCAATATCGAATCGAATCGAATCGAAGCCTCAAGAATTGAAATCGAATCGAATTGTGAAATACCTAACAATACCCAGCCCTATTTGTTTGTATACCAAACTAGCAGCTAGATCAACATAAGAATAATATACTGACCATATTCTAACATTTCCTCATGTCAAGCTAACATTATAACATTCATTTGTTTTATGTACATTTGCTCACCTGTCTTATAAAGCTGTAAATTCGTGACTCGTGAAGTTCTGTCAAGTCCAAATTAGTCACGGACGCTAGCTCTCTGTCGAGTGGAAGTCAGTCTCGGACGCTAGCTCTCGGCATCTCAAAAACATCTCGCTGATATTGATCCTCATTTTAGTTCTCCTTGTTTGTCCCAAAGTCTGCTTGCCATTATATGACTGACACGTTATCACATTAGACAATGTTGATGCACTTGCACAGAGAGTTGAAATTAAATCAACAAGGACAGTCTATTTTTTTTATTGAAAAAGCGCAGAGAAAATTTGAGTAAAGACGACTGGAACTTTTTGTCAAGTCAATCTCTGTTTTTTGGCGGTTTATATTAGTGGGAAATATGAAATTGCTGGCAGTAGTAAAAATGTTGAATTGTGGTTTAAGGGGCTCATTAACGCATATGAAAAAAAAAATGTGAAAACTTTGAAGAGGTGTGGAGTGTACAAAAAATGTTGTGCTGGGTTGAAAATGATACATTGCACTTTGTGGAAGAATTTGAGAAGGCCTAATAATTTGAGTAGGCTTATGAGATTTCTTGTTAATGTAGTGTTTTTTGTTTTTGTTTTTTGATGTTGTGTAATAAAGGTGTGTTAAATGCAAAAATCTCTCTCTCTCTCTCTTCCAGCTTAAACTCTCCACTTAAGTAAAAATAGCTCAGAGCTCATAATCCTGGAGGTATCGGGGCAGAATACAATTGAAAATTTGTGACCTTAAATGCATGTATGGATTGTGTGCAGCAATTGCATTGATCAGTATTCAATACAAATGAATGTTAAGCTACATCAGTTTAATTTCTCTAAATTAGACAGGGTTTGTCCAACCATGCTCCAGGGATTTCCAATATGTTTTTCCAACATTGTTTTTCAACGTTACATTATGTTTTATTATGCTCAAGAGATAAGGTTTCAAGCTTGTCAGATATAACTAGTTTTATATTTTTATTCATTTATGTTTTCTCTGCCTACAGACACCCCCATGGAACCCTGGTTGAAAACCTTTGATGTTCAATGCAAAAACATGCTAACAAAAATTCATGTTAACATCTGACATATGGAGTGTTTGTTGGATACATGCTGAACATCATAATTACCCCACTTCATTTTTAACGAGATATTCATTTGCATCTTTAATGAAACACTCGCAAATCAAAGAGGACAAGCTAATATTTGAGTGCTGCTAGCATGGCTGTTTTGATTATGTTATTAATTTTTGCTCTGATGTGAAGGCAATTTTTTATTCACAAGTGTTCAAAACATAGTGATTCTCCTATGTAAGCATTTAATATTTTATGAGTTTACATCATTTTCATATTTCTAAAACATCATAACACACAACAAAGCCAAAGAATTTACCTGTATCTGCTGAAGCAAATTTTTCAGTTGCACCAGGAACTCTTTGGCCTCCTTGGCTTTGTCAGACACTCCATTCAACGCCTGGGACAGCTGACACTGCACACAAAAACACGGGTCACATGCTTAACATGCTTCAAAATGACATGACGTGAGTATTTCGAGTTTTCAACCCAACATTACATGACATCCTCAAATATCTCTCAACGTTGCCTCCATTCTTAAACATACCCCAAATATTTCAAAAATCTTCCAACTCAAAAGGGGTCAAGGTTTGGCTACTTAGCATAGGCAATTACGCACATGCCATAGCTAAAACATTACACTGAAAGAAGTGTGTTTAACTTTTGACAGCCAATCCAAAGTAGCCTTGCACTAAAAGAAAGATAAAGACCCACTGACCAGGGGCCTCACATGAACTTGATCTGGCCATGCAAATCCAACATTACTCAACAATCCCAAACAATCCCAAAATCCTCAAAAGATCCAACATAAATGAGCATTCTTATAACAAGCAGGGTCCAAGAAAGCAAGAGAAAACAATGGATCCAAATGCAGATATTTAATAAAGAACGAGAAAAAAAAAATCCAAAACATGAACAGATTTCAAGGAACGAGAATGTGACAAACAACAACAACAAAAAAAAAAGCAGCTGACAATGGATACACATGGAAACCAGACCTTAAATACATGAGGGTTAATGAGAGAACAAGAAAACACTACAAAGGACAAAAAAAAAACAAGAAGGAAAAAAGAAACAAGAATTTCAACATAAAAGTTCAAACATAAAACAGATCATTTGACAGAGCACCACCCCCATTTGAGGAACGGGTACCAGATGCTCAAAAAACAGGCTGGAAAAATGCAGTTGAAGGATTCATGAAGGGAGATGCAGCAAAGACTTAGAGCTGAGGAGGAACAGGTGAAGGTCTGGAGGGCCAGGCCTATGAGGGTACCAAAGCGGTGACCACAAAAGAGCAGAGGATCACTTGGACAGAGCGTGAGCATCCGTAAACACCACCCAACATACACATTATTCTAAAACACCACCAAGCATTCCCAGCATCCTCAACCCCGTATTCTCAACATCCTCAAACATTTCCACCCATCCTCAAACACTACTCAACACTCCCAGCTCCTTCAACCATCGCTCAACCCAACCAACATCTTAACGCAAGGGTGTAAGTTTGGTTTGAGAAGTGGGGGGGGGGACACAAAATGTTTTCGATTTGAATCCCATTTCCAAAATGGATGTACATACATTTAGGGATTATAGTGTTGCAAAAACCAGGAAATAATTTGATTATGATGATCATTTCTGCCAGATATGTATAAGAAAAATGTCTTTGTTTCTTTATCGTTTAATAGGAGCCGATCGCCAAGACTTTTAGAGAATCATTTTATTGAAAGTCAAAATGTTAGCCATTAATGTTTTGTGTGTAAATAAAAATGTAAATAATGTGTGCTTTAATTCCCACTGTTATGTAGAAACAACATAAAGACGTATATTTAAAATAATTGTTTAATGGCATCTGTTTATGAATGAAGGCCAGTAGGCTAGGGGTGTAATGATATTCGAACCGAACCGAAAAACCGCGATACAGAACTCATGATTCGAATGGCGATACTCTCATTGCGTACTGAACATGCCCCGCCCCGGCCCAATGGACCTATAAGATGTTTTATGTGTACAGTAGACAACGAATTCAGTTTTGTAGCCTAACCACCATTTACACCAAATAACAAGCTCCGTGTTTTGTTACTTTCGATAATAAGCAAGGTGTAATCTTTCAAATTCTGTCTATTTGATCACGAAATTCAAACAATAAATGGCGTTTTGGCCCTCTTAATGATATCTTGATTATTTAATGTGTTTATGAAAATGACAACAGTGTAAATTATTATATTTCAATAACAAATTAGAGTAAAAACACAAGGTAATGCAAAAAAACTGCCTTATGTTCAGTTTACGTGTTTTCATACAATGTGTTGTGTGTTGATTATTTTATCTAAAAAATAAATAGCATCTGAATTTTGGTTAAAAGTCTAGGCTACAACCTTTAATGTTATAATAGTATGCGGCTCCCTATATAGTTTACAGTATTAGCAGATTTTTTTTTTAATCCTTGTGAAACATTTAATTGTAATTGAATTAATGTAAATACAAAGACCATTTTTTTCATTAAACCACTTTAAAAAAAAAAGAAGCAATTTTAGCTTTCTAAACCGAACCGAACCGAGACGTTACAACCGTGGGAAGACCGAATCGTCAGTTTTGTGTATTGTTACACCCCTACAGCACTGATATTAATATTGCTAACTTACTGATGTCTCGATGAAAATGACCCCACCCCACCACACAAATTTTAAACATTTATTAGGCTTAAAAAATATAACTTATAATTTAAGTGAACTTAAAACAAACCTTACATGAACCCATTATAAACGTCATACTTACCTGTGCCTTCCTGTCTAACAGGTATAACACTGAAACTGAAGGTTATCAAACAATCCGCACTTCATAAATATAAATTAAATATTTATATTTAATACTACATTTAATTACTAAATTAAATACTCTTTTTCATTTGTCCAAATTTGTCTAAACAAATTTTTTAGGATTGGAAAGATTTTGTATTTGACTGATATTTGAATGATGGTGGTATCGCATTGGGTCTGTACAGATTATTGAAATATGCCGACTTAATAATCAGTCACGAGAAGCTCTGCCCAGGGGTTAACAGACCTCCATAATCCATAGGCAGCAGAATTAAGATAATTTGGATTTGAGATAATCTCAAAGCAAACAAAAGCTTTGCATCATGTTTTCTTTATCGTTAAAACGTTAGCCTACTCTATTTTGTGTGCCAACAATCTAATTCTGATCTGAGCTCTAATAAAACCCTCAACTTGAGCTCAAGTCTAGCCGACATTTGACAACAGATCGGGTAATATCAGAAATCCTGATGTGTGTGGCTCAAAAAATGTAATTAGCTCAGTATAAAACCATTACTAATAAGGATAGGTGTATGTGTGTGTATGTGTGTGTGTGTGAGAGAGATGGAAAATTAACCATGGTTTTATTATAGGCGCATTGAACACTTATATAACCAAATAAATACTAGTTAGATTTGCGAAACTATGGTTAATTTGTGGTTATCATGGTTTAACTACAATATCCATGTTTTATTTTTTTATTTGTAGTAAAACCATGGTAAATTTTCAAAAGTGTGCATTACCACAACATTTATCTGAGAAGTTCACTATTCTGAAGTCTCGTGAGATTTTGCGAGATTTCCTGTAAAAAAATCCTTTGGTGTGTACCCAACATACAATTCAAAAAGAACTGTAAATAAAAGTGTTAATTGTTAAGAGGAATCCGAAACAAATCTGTTACATTTCAAATGATAATTCCTAAACTTCAGCAAATGTCTATTTTATGCAAGAAAATTGATTGATTCAAACATTTTTTTTTTAAACAATGCTTTCATAATGCACACAATAGAGGGTGAAAATCATCCGAGAATGAGACTCTGGCTTGACTAATGATCACTCAAGTCTGTGGAAAAGACCCTGGCACCAGTCCATACACACACACGCACACGCACACACATTTCATTCCCACCTGCTCCTTCCTCTGGGCCTTCCCTGGCCTTCTTCGATCACTGGGTCTTAAATCACGGAAGAAACACACACACATAAACAAACACAAGCAGCACACACACAGACGTATCTCCTCGCTCTATTAATGTGCCATCTGCCAGGGAAAGCAGCCCAAGCCTGCTAACAAGACCCTGACAGATACCCCTCTCATGGCCCACTTCTCCCAGTAGGTGTGCCTGAGTTCGAGAAGAAGACACCCGGACACTGCTGGGGTCAATGATGCATAGGGGTCACCGTCTCACCCCTGCTTTTGTGTCCACAGACCCTGCACAATCTGCCTCTCCTTCACACTACTCAAACTAATTTCAGCCAAAGAATCAAAACAAAGAAATTGGCTTGAATTCATTCCCTTGCTTTGTTAAAATAGTGTTAACAGACATGGAGTGCAAAATGTCACAGATATAGTTGTAGTTTATTGACCAGTCAATGCAAAGGTCATGTGGTCAGAGTCACTTACACAGATTAATTTGGAAAAAATGGATTAAAAAAATTACAGTAAAAATATAATCTTACAAAAGCGTTCTATTTCAAGAAAATGCGGTTCTATTGAATTTTATATTCATCAGAATCTACACAAATATTCTGCTCTGTTTTTAACATTGATAATACTAATAAATGTTTATTGAGCAGCAGATCATATTAGAATGATTTCTGAAGGATCATGTGACACTGAAAGCTGGAGTAATGATGCTGAATTTTTTTTTTAATATATTAGAATTGAAATTGTAATAATACTTCACAATATTACATTGTCTTTCGACCAAAATGCAGCCGTACCGACCCCAAAACCTTTAACATATAGTTTACAATTAACATTTTTGTGAAATGTTTTGATTCAAAAGTGTATGTGAACGCCAATAATTGGTTATATATTTTCTTATCTAACTCAGTGACATTCATTTTTAAATATGGCGTAGGAGTAAATATATTTTAGGGGCCACTCTATCATTTCAATCTCAATAAGCTGGACAATAAACTTTGGGATAAAAGGTGTCTGCTAAAAGAATACGTGCAAATGTAGAAAGTAGAAAACACTGCTCTGATATACTGAACTGAAACATTGACTAAGTTTACATGCAGCCAATTTTCTGGTTATGGTCGGGTTAAGGTCACTATTCGGGTTTCTGAAACATTAGGAATAAGACGTTTACATGCGTGAGCAGAGAGAGTTTCTCCAGTATACCTGGAATTGCAATATCCCGATGTAAACGGTGACGCACGGTGAGCGTCTAGACGTACGAACAAACTTAAAGGCCAATTTATACTTCTGCGTCGAGGGTGCGCCGCAGTGTACGGCGTTGGCTACGCACGTAGGCGACGCCGTTGTGAGCATTTATACTTCTGCGTTCAGGTCTTGGTTGCTCTGCAGTACTGCTCCGAAACGCTAGTTGGCGGCGGAGGGTTTTAATGTTCCACTGTGTTTAGATTCCTCACG